GTCACACACAGTCACACACAAACACACAGTCACACACACACACAGTCACACACACACAGTCACACACACACACAGAGTCTCTCACACACACACAGAGTCACACACAGTCACACACACACAGAGGGTAACACACAACACACACACACAGTCACACACACACACAGTCACACACACACACAGTCACACACACAGTCACACACACAGTCACACACACAGTCACACACACACAGTCACACAGTCACACACAGTCACACACACACACACACACACACACACACACACAGTCACACACACACACACACACACAGTCACACACATACAGTCACACACACACATACAGTCACACACACACACACAGTCACACACACAGTCACACACACGCAGTCACACACACACACGCAGTCACACACAGTCACACACACACACAGAGTCACACACAGTCACACACACACAGTCACACACACACACACACAGAGTCTCTCACACACACACAGAGTCACACACAGTCACACACACAGTCACACACACACACACAGAGTCACACACAGTCAACACACACACACAGAGGGTAACACACAACACACACACAGAGTCACACACACAGTCACACACACACAGTCACACACACACACACAGAGGGTAACACACACACAAACAGAGTAACACACACACAGGGTAACACACACACCAATAGTCACACACACAGTCACACACAGAGAGTCACACACACACAGAGTCACACACACACACACACACAGAGTCACACACACACACACACAGAGTCACACACACAGAGTCACACACACAGAGTCACACACACATACCGAGAGTCACACACACACACCGAGAGACACTCACACAGAGTCACACACACACACACACAGTCACACACACAGTCACATACACACAGAGAGTCTCTCACACACACAGTCACACACACAGACCACACACACACACACACACACAAAGAGTCTCACACACAACGGGTAACACACACACACAGGGTAACACACACACACACAGGGTAACACGCACACCCACAGAGGGTAACACACGCACACATACACAGGGTGACACACAGAGGGTAACATAGAGAGGGTAAAACACACACACACACACAGAGTAACACACACACACACATGGTACCACACATACAGACAGAGAGTAACACACACACACAGACACAGAGAGTAACGCACACACAGAGTAACAGACACAAAGACACAGAGTAACAGGCACAGAGAGTAACAGAGACACAGAGAGTAACAGAGACACAGAGAGACAGGCACATAGAGACACAGAGAGGTCAGAGAGTAACAGACGCAGAGAGACTGAGAGAGAGTAACAGACAGAGAGAGAGTAACCGACACAGAGAGGCAGAGAGAGAGTAACGGACACAGCGAGATAGAGAGAGTAACAGACATAAAGAGAGCGAGAGAGAGTAACAACAACAACAAGATTACATTTGTATAGCGCCTTTCACGTTGGGAGGACGTCCCAAGACGTTGGACAGTGTACAGATTTCAGACCCGAGCTGGGGTCAGGGACGGAGAAGGGAGGGGAGGGGAAGGGGGGTGGCCGGTGGCATGGTTCAAGAGGAGGGTTTTGAGGTGTGACTTGAAGGAGGCTAAGGAGGGGGTGAGGCGGAGTGATTGGGGGATGGAATTCCAGAGGTTGGGGGCAGAGTGGCTGAAGGCTCTCCCGCCAATGGTGGGGCGGGTGAGTCGGGGGACATGGAGCAGGCCAGAGCCGGCTGAGCAGAGGGAGCGGGCGGGTTGGTAGGGTGTTAGGTCGCAGAGGTAGGGTGGGGTGAGGCCATAACAGACACAGAAAGACAGAGAGAGAGTAACAGAGAGAGAGTGACATGGAGAGAGAGAGTAACAAGCACAGAGAGAGAGGGAAAAAGAGGGAGAGAGTAACAGAGAGAGAGAGAGTAACAGACAGAGAGAGAGAGAGTAACAGACAGACAGAGAGAGAGAGTAACAGACAGACAGAGAGAGAGTAACAGACAGACAGAGAGAGAGTAACACACAGAGAGTAATAGACACAGAGAGAGAGGGAGAGAGTAACAGACACAGAAAGACAGAGAGAGTAACAGACACAGAGAGAGCCACAGACACATATAGAGTAACAGACACAGAGGGAGAGAGAGTAACAGACACAGAAAAGGAGACAGAGAGAGAGAGAGAGGCTAGGGGGAGAGAGGTCAGAGAGTAACAGACAGAGAGAGACAGAGAGAGTAACAGACACAGAGAGACAGGGAGAGAGTAACAGACACAGAAAGACAGAGAGAGTAACAGACACAGAGAGAGCCACAGACACATAGAGAGTAACAGACACAGAGAAAGCCACAGACACATAGAGAGTAACAGACACAGAGAAGAGACAGAGAGAGAGAGAGAGGCTAGGGGGAGAGAGGTCAGAGAGTAACAGACAGAGAGAGACAGAGAATGACAGACACACAGAGAGAGACAGAGTAACAGACACAGAGAGAGAGACAGAGAGTGACAGAGAGCGAGGTGGTGGGGAAGAGGTCAGATAGTAACAGAGATGCAGAGAGTGGGGAGAGGTCAGGGTGTAACAGAGACAGAGAGGGTGAGGCCAGAGACTAACAGAGATAGATTGAGAGAGGGGGAGAAGTCAGAGAGTAACAGATGCAGAGAGAGAGTGAGAGAAAGACTGAATGAGAGAGACACAAGAAGACTGAGAGATGGGGGTGGTCAGTGTTATGAAATCAGACACATCAAGTGTATATATTGTTCAATATTTCATTAAAAGAACAAGTATACTTGTCACAGGAGTAGTTGCAGAATAGGTAACAACAGTTTCGTCCCCTAATGTTATTGTATCAGGATCTCTTCTAGTCATCCCATTTCCTGCCTGTTTCCCTGTTCTCATCAATCAATCTCCCCTCCTCCTTTGCTTATCACAAGTTTTTAGCTTTTCTATTTTCTTCAGTTATATGTAGCCTATTTATCACAGCAAAGGTTCCTTATGCATCCTCGTTGGTTTTGAATACTCTTCAACAATCTTGACTCCTGTTGACAAGGTCTGCCTCTTATTGGCTGTACTCCCTGCACGTCGGTGCTTTGCCTCCCGATAATCCCTGCTGCTTCCTCTATATATCCTCTCTTATTCCCCTTCACAAGAAGGATTGTTGAAATTCCTTCAGCAGGTTTATTGCCCCCTTTTCTCAACTTACACACATATGCAGATGACTTCCAAATCTATTTTTTCGTTTCCACTCTTATATCCAGGCCCACTGATGTTCTGTCCACTTGCCTGCCAGACATCAAGGCCTGGATGGCCCAAAATTTCCTGCAACTGAAAACAACAAACCTAAGGCTCGTCTCCTACTAATGCCCCCCTCACTTCTGACTCTGACCTCCTTAATGCTGCTTGGTCTGTCTTTCAAACTCACTAAACCAGTGCGTGGTCCTTGGCAACCATTTCATTCTTCAGCTCTCGTTTCTCCCTCACATCCATCTCTAACCAAAAGTGCTTTGCTTTTCTTCACCTATGCTACATCGCCCACCACTGCCCTACCTGATTTTAAATGCTGTTGAAACCTTAACCCACGCCTTTGACACCTCCTGGCTGAACTTTTCTAATTTACTCCTCACTGATCTCATTAACTTCACTCTTGATAAACAGATTGAAAACTCAGCTACCTAAATTCTCACCTGCACCAAACTCTGCATGTCCATCACTCCAGTCCTCACCAAGCTGCTCTGTCTCTCCTAAGCCAGGCAGGTTTCACAGTACTCTGCATACTAATGACAGCACACCCAACCTGGCTGATCAGCATGACTTGGATGGGCAGACCAGTCACTTCGGGGGCAGGGAATCATCCTAATCAGCTCCTCTTAATCCTCCAAGCCAAATCCCTAAAGGGTAGGGTGGTCTTAGCTCCCTCTCCAAAACAACTAACTATCAACTAATGAGTTTGGAACTTGTCCAAACTTCTGAAAAATAGCCTTTCACTGTAACTATGGAGCAGCTGGTAGGGGGGAAAGGCAGGTGAATGGGTCTAAATTGCAAGCTATTTTATAGGGTCAGCATAGGCATGATATGCCAAATGGTCTCCTGTGCTGTAAATTTCGATAAACATAACCTGTCCACAGCTAAGTACAAGTCATGTTTAGAATGGTCTTTATTCTTATTAGTTCAAGTGTAATTTATGGACTGTTACATGGTAACTAGAGTACAGTATTTGTGTGATAGTAAGCTTAAATGCTTTGCTCATTGGTAAAAGATATTAGTGATGTTTTGAGTACTTATGAGATAGACAAGACATAGATTCTCAGGTGTGGGGTAGTGTGTTCATATCCAATGTATTTCCTGTCTATTAACTACATTCTCTTGAATTGCAGATTACTCGAGCCTTAAGAGAAGGTCAAATCAGTTCAACAGAACTGTGCCAGAGATGTCTGTCTTTAATCAGGGAAACAAAGATCTTCAATGCTTATATCACTGTCACTGAGCAACTTGCCGTAAAACAGGCTGCAGAAGCAGATAAAAGACTGAAAAGAGGTAATGTCCATTTTTTCTGCTGCATAAAAATGTATAAGACTATTCCAGTTCAACTGGCTTGTCTCAAAGTGAAGATAATCCTATCCTACTCTATCTCAAACTTTTCAATTGATTTCTAAATTCCCTCCTGAAATTGCTGACAAAATCTGCCTGCACTATATATATATATATATAGCTCATTTCTCATCAGGAAGATCTCTCAAAGCGCTTCAGAGAGTTGACTGGGAGCCTGAGCTGGAGGTGGGAGTTGGGGAAGAGGAAGGTGGCTACAAACATGGTTCAAAAGATAAAGCTTAAGATGGATTTTGAAGGCGGAGGGAGAGAAGCAAGGTGGAGGAGCTCCGGGATGGAGTTCCAGAGGAAGGGATGGAGAAGCAGAATAGCTGATAACTCACCCACTGAAGGGGGCCCGATCAGGGAGAAAACTGATGTTTGCTGAAGGAGTGGCTGGAGCGTAGTTTTACAGGATGACATAGAGAGGGGCAAGACTGGAGGGATTTGAACACAACAAGGAACTTAACTTCAATCCGCAGGGGAATGGAGAGTTAGTGGAGCCAAGTGAGAATGGGGGGGAGGTTTGTAGAACCTGATGCAAGAGAGGACATGATCTGCAGTGTATACAGTATAGAGAAGAGCTGGAGAGACCAGCAAGCATGGCGTTGGAGTAATTGAGGCTGTACACCATCCTACAGAAGGTCCAGCAGACGGGTCTATTCCTTGCTTCGCTATGCAGTCCTGTAAGCAGCCACCAGGAGGTGCATGACGGCTGTGCCATGGAGAGAGTTGTAAAGTTTATTTTGGCATCTTCTATTTCAATGGAGATTGTGATCTGAGACAGGAGATGGGTTTGATTAGATGTCTTAACATTTCTCCTTCGTGTTCCATGCAGGAAAGCCTCTAGGTCCCTTAGATGGAATTCCAGTTGCTGTTAAGGATAACTTTAGCACAGCAAATATCGAGACCACATGTGCCTCAAAGATTCTAAAAGGTAATTTATTTTCAAATAAAAATTGATCAATTCAATTTACTCTGAAATAAAATGTTTGAATGTTTTCTGAGTGGAGGAGGGCTTAAACTAAGCGCTCTGAGATGCCGTCCGGCGTGGAAGGCGCTATATAAATCCAAGTTGTTGTTGTAATATGGCAGTGGAGAGGGGGGGAAAAGAGAGGAAAAAGATAGGCACGATATGCCAAATGGTCTCCTGTGCTGTAAATTTCGATAGCCGTTTAAGTATTAATTATTGCTAATTGGTAAACTGCTGTTGATTAACATCGTGGGACATTTTTACAGTGTTATCCAAAATAATGGATACTATGCTAGTATATTTCAGTATGAAAAATAATGATTGTAAAAATATCACACAAATTAAAATACTGTATTTTGACTAAACCACTTCCACTGTATCAAATTGATGTGCAGCTTCAAGGCATTTCTAATGAGTTTCTTCTTTTGATCTTAGGCTATATTCCACCATTTAATGCCACAGTAGTGCAGAAGTTACTGGATCAAGGTGCTGTCCTTATGGGGAAAACCAATCTAGATGAATTTGCAATGGGGTAAGAATGCTGTACACCTCACATTATGTAAGGCACAAACAAAACTGAAATTAACAACCAACTAAACTACTTTTGGTGAATTTGAGTGAGGAAAGAATATTGGCCAGAATGCATTGAGAATATTATAGCCCTCTTCAAAATAGTGCCATGGAATTTTTAATGCTGGTCTGAACAGACACTTGTCATCTGAAAGAAGATACCTATAAAAATGCAGTTCTCTCTTCTTCCTGCATTGCATTGTCAACCTAGATTATGAATCTATTGTATTTTGTTACTCATAGCTATCTCTTAAAAACAAATCCTAATCTTTAGTTGTAGTGCCTTCAGCTCCCCTCTCGACTCTCTTCCCCCTCCTCGCTCCCTCCCTTCCCTCCCCTCACCCTGACCATTTCCCCCCTGCTCGGGTCATGACCCAACTGTGCAGCGCCTTGGGACGTCCTCCTGACGTGAAAGGCGCTTTATAAATGGAATCTTGTTGTTGTTGTTGTAGTGACGTGGAATCCTGTAGCTCAGTGGTTAGAGCACTCGCTTTGCAAGCGAGACACTAGGTTCTATTCCTGGCAGAGGGCGAAACCTTGGGCAGGTTTCATTACTCCACACACCTGATAATAATCCCTCAAAAAAAATTGGTCATTTCAATCCACATCTGTTTGTGGGACACTGCTGTGCGCAATTGGCTGCCGCATTTCGCCCACAAATATACAGTTAATTCACTTTACAGTATATTCTGTGAAGCGCTTTGAGATGTCTAGAAGACGTGAAAAGCCCTATATCAAATGCAAGGATTAATTAATTAATTGATTAATTAATTAATATCCTGTTTCCTGCATCAGGATATATTGTGAAAATAATTATTTAACAATGCAGTTATTTGTCATTGTGCAGTTTTTGATTTAAAATAAAGGAATTTGAATACTGTATCTTTTGCATCACAGTTCAAAAAAGGTTTTCATTGTGCTTTCCCTGCCCAGTTTACTGCCCCTTTTCTTCTCTTCTGGTGCTTGTTGGAGTGAAGCAGCATTCCATTACCTCACACCAATTAATCCTTTACTTGCGGGCCCAGTGTCAGCAGGATATTTAACCATAGAGGATATGATCCTGTTCATCTGTGCTCTCCAATAGGGGTCACTGAAAAGTATTTGGAAATTTTAGCCCTAATTTTATACATAAGATATATGTATGAAAAAAGTTTTCCCCTCACTAGCTCAGACATTTACCCGACTGAGATCAGCTGACTCAGATCAGACCTGGGATCAAAGCTGCTTCCCTTGTGATCAGTGTGGCTCAGAAACACAGTAAGCATTTTTAATAATAATAATCCTTGCATTTGCTATAGCGCTTTATCGCATCTGCGAGACGTCTCAAAGCGCCACACAGAATATACTGTAAAATAAATTGACTGTATATTTTGTGGGGGAAACGCAGCAGCCAATTGCACACAGCAGCATCCCACAAACAGTCATGGATTGAGTGAACAATTTTTTGTTTTTTCTTTGAGGAATTATTACACCCAGAAAAGCGATCCGCCAATCAACTAATAACTGGGTTCCTACTTACTGCTAGGTAAACAGAGGCATGTGGAGTAAGGAAACTTGCCCAACGTTTCACCTTGCCGGGAATCGAACCCAGGTCATTTCCTCGCGAGGCGAGTGCTCCAACCACTGAGCTACAGGACTGCACTTTATTTATCCAATGCAACATCATCTCCGAGTTCCGTAATGGTGGTTAAAGCAAATTATGTGGCAAGCTCTATTCAAAGCATTTGCTATGACAATAACCCTATTAATTCCCCAGGTCTGGGAACACTGACAGCATCTTTGGACCAGTGAGAAATCCATGGGGATATTCCAGACAGTTTAGAGAGAAACATCTTCAGAGTCACGACAAGGAAGACTCTGATTGGGTGATAAGTGGTGGTAGCTCTGGTGGCAGTGCTGCAGCTGTAGCTTCACTGACGTGTTTTGCGTGAGTACTCTAACATCTCTTTACTCAGAATCCTTTTAATTTTCGTTCCTTCCTCCTTCCTTTTCTGTCTATTTCTAATCCTCTCCCTTCCCTGTCCCCCTCCCATCCCCCTCCCCTCTTTTCGCCCTACCTCCAGTCGTTCCCCCACCTCCCCTCTCTCTCTCTCTCCTCTCTCTTCTCCCTTGCCCTTCCTTTCCGGATTGTATCCAAGTTTCCTAGTCTATATGACTGGACAATTTAATACCCACTAAGTTATTGGGGTCCCTCATAAATGCTGTTTTTATGGAGCTTCCAGAGACATTAATCTAGAATATATTCCATCTAGTTCATAAACAGATATTTGGTGGTATTCATATTTGTGGACATTCAAGCCCTTTAGATAGGCTTTTAATTGTAAATCCCTTCATTACCACCCAAGATGGAATGAACAATTTCCAGATTCCCGGTATCCAGGATTCTTCCTTATTCCTATGTTATTAATCTTTACTTATTCCCATTTTACTTACCCGCGCCCCCCACCCTGATGTGAAATGCACTATATAAATGAAATTTGTTGTTGTTTGCCACTTTTTTCCCTATCCTTAAAAACTAGTCTGAAATACAGCAAAAACATTCTTTTTCCCATCTTTAATTTTCACTTAGTTTTTATTCTTTTTTTCCCCTGATTTCCTTATTTGTTCATCTTTGAACTGAAATTCCTTTGTTTCCAGTGTTGTCATTTTGTTAAGCAGTGCCTCATGCAATGTGACAGTCGAAGTGTGATGATGGCACAAAGATGTTAACAGGGGGAAATGTTTCCTCTCAGGGCTTTAGGCTCAGACACAGGCGGCTCAACACGTAATCCTGCTGCCCACTGTGGGATTGTAGGCTTCAAGTGTTCCTACGGACTCATCTCTCGTCATGGCCTCATACCCTTGGTCAACTCCATGGATGTTCCTGGCATTCTGACCAGATGTGTAGATGATGCAAGCACTGTACTAGGTACCTTCTATTTTAACATTGAATAAGTTCTGTTTAAGTGTGTTGTTCGAATGGTGTGCTTTTTCTGCTGCTCCTCTGTCAATAGAGCTTGCCACACAACTTGCTTTAACAGCCACTACGGAACTCGGAAATGATGTTGCATTGGATAAATAAAGTGCAGTCCTGCAGCTCAGTGGTTTGAGGTTCAAAGGTTGAAGACTAGGATATTGGTACTTTGTGGTCATCACAATCTTGCCTGAAATGTTGTGGGACCGTATAAATAATAGTCATAAGAAGTATACTTTGTCTCAGAATAACTACTACTAGCCATCTCTGTGGAACCCTGTCACTGTAAAGCATTCCGATAAATTAATCCCACATAAAGGCCCCCTCCCTTGCCTCCTTCAAGACCCGTCTCAACACCCTCCTCTTCGACCGTGCCTTCGCGCACCCTCCCCGTCCTCCACCCCTCCTGATCCCAACCACCAGCTCGGGTGCAGATCCCTGATTGTCCAGATTGGGACGTCCTCCCGACATGAAAGACGCTATACAAATGTAATTTTATTGTTGTGTGTTGAACCTCTGAACACCACTTATTGAAGAAATTCTAAATAATCAATCTTAAAAGGCCTGGTAGTGCTATGTGACAGTCAGTGCATTGGTCATATCTTTACTCTTTGGGTTTCTTCTAATGCATTGAACCTGTAATGTTGTGGGACCATATAAATAATAGTAATAATAATAATGGGACGTCCTCTCGACGTGAAAGGCGCTATACAAATGTAATCTTGTGTTGTTGAACCTAAAATGAAGTTCTTCTCGTTCTATCATCAGCCCTCTCAACAAACCAGAAAGGCGAGAGATTCCTCCAGGGCCATTTCACAAAACATATAGCAGAAGTTTATTGAGCCCCTGACTTGGCATCAAGCTTCGTCATTGTTCAGCGCCCTGAGACGCTACCCTGTGGAAATAAATGCTATATAAATGCAAGTTGTTGTTGTCATGCAAGAAGAAGCCTAAGAGCAAGCTACCTGCATGTTCCCTCAGTGAAGGAATGGCAGGAATAACAACCAAATAGAGGGTGTCAATTTAAATATAAAAGAAAATTTGGAAGTTCCAAAATAAATAATAAAATGATGAGACTCAAATGTCTGAGATGGCATAATCATTTTCTGAAGTGACCTTCAAAAGCTATTTTACACCAGTGTTTAGCAGGTCTAGTCAGTCATTGACCTGTTCAAATAGGATGTCCTGTGTCTTGTGCTGCATGGTAATGCTAATTGAATCTGTTGTATCTGTAATAGGTGTACTTGCTGGGCATGATCCCAAAGACTCAACAACTAGACAGGAACCTTTTGAACCCTTCGAATTACCTGATGAAATAGATATAAGAAATCTGTCTATAGGTATTCCAAAGGTGAGTTCTCAATATTTTTAGAAGGAATGATTTTAGTCCCTGTTGTTAGACGAGTCTCACGTATTTCATTGCATTGTGATCATTTTGTTACATTTTGCAGTATTTTCTGTTTGAATTAGGATTTCTGTAAAGGGGAACCATAAACAGTAGTGCTATTTCGGTAAAGAAATGTAATCAGTTCTGCTATTACCAAGTTTCAAAATGATAATAGTTTTGCAGAGATCAATAGAGGAAGCACGCAAATACTTCAACAGAAAAAGGCATAAAAACTATTTTGCTTCACTTTCTCTCTTGTTTTCGTACCTGCTGCAGTCCTTTTTTATCCATAAAATGTTGATGGCACATCTTTCAGTAAGTTGTGGTCTTGTGGGAAAATAATGGCTGGGAAATACCATATATTAATAGTGTGGAAGAAAGTGGAATCAGAATTTGTTTAAAGGTTTGTACCTTCCATGAATAGAGGGCTAAAGTTTATACTTACTACTTTTCAACTTCTGTTTTGTATATTATGTTTAACAGAACTTCACTAAAAAATGTCAATGAGAATATGTTCATTTTTTGATTTATTGACAGCAAGCTCAACATTCTCAACATGTTCAGAAGCCAGTACTTCAAATATGAAATCAAACATTACAATTCTGCCTCCAATCAGTTGAACAACATTAACCATAGAACCATACAATTATACAGCACAGAAGGATTTCTGTAAAGGAACTATAAACAGTGGAGGAGACCATTCGGCCTATCGTGTCTGTGCCTGCTCTTTGAAAGAGCTATCCAATTCAATCCCGCTCCCCCGGGCTCTCCCCATAGCCCTGCAAACTTGTCCTCCCCAAATAATTATATACTTTTCTCTTAAAAGTTGTTATCAAATCGGCTTCCACTCTGACTGATGAAGAACTACATTGGACTTTCATACCCCAGCTGAAAGTGGGACGTCCTCCCGACATGAAAAGCGCTATACAAATGTAATTTTGTTGTTGTTGTATTTGCTTCTTAATCATCTAGGAGATCAGATGTTACATAACATTGGTAGTTAATTAGCTGTTAATAGTAAATGGGAAATACAGTGACTTTCCTTGCTTTTAACCATTTTCCATTTCTGTTTTTGAAAGGAATATCATGCTCCTGGATTGTCCAGTGAAATTGTGGAAAACTGGACAAAGGCTGCAGATCTATTTGAAAATGCAGGTGCCCGAGTTCTTGAAGTCTCCCTACCTCATACTCCGTACTCAATTGTTTGTTATCATGTGTTGTGCACAGCAGAGGTAGCATCAAATATGGCACGGTTCGATGGACTGGAATACGGTATGAAACCATTCACATTGTGGACTAAAACAAACAGTTTTCTTAGTTACTTTAATTTCCTTAGTTAAGCACTAACTGAAGTATTCAATTAAGGTCTGTAAAGCATAGCAATGTCACAAGTTGTGTCGGTGTGTCAGCCTGGCTTGGTTGGTAGCATTCTCACCTCTGAGTTAGAAAGTTGTTGGCTCAAGCCTTTGGGACAATGCAGTGCTGGGGGTGTGACACATTAAACCAAGGCCCCGTCTGCCTGTTCAGGTGGATGTTAAGGATCCCAAGGCACCATTCAAAAAACGAAGGGAGTTCCTCCCAATACCCTTGCTAAATAAAATTGGTCATTCAACGTTTTGGGGACATTAGTGATTAGTGTCCAAGGTGCCATCCTTTGGATGAGATGTTAAACTGAGATCCCATCTACATGTTTAGGTTGTTCATAACAGTGAAATTCCATAGCCCCAAGAACAAATTTTAAAGTATTCCTTACCTATGACGTGTTGCATTGAATCTTCGTGATCAATGTAAAATTCGCTTGATGGCTCACTCACACCATGTCCATTTCACTGTTCCTTTTGGTTTCTACAGCATTTCCCTGAATCTATCAATGCACCAACCAATGTAGAAGTTTAGATGAATTTCAGAGAAGTGTTTTCTTCTATCCTGGACCATAGTCATCCTTGTCATCTGTGCTACTTCAGGCTGGTGTTGAGTGAGCTTAATTCATAGCCTTTTGTTACCTTGTTAGGTTGTGGAGTGAAGGAGCATTACCAAGCAGCACAAAAATAAGGTTTACACAAGACATCGTATCCTAACAAGTTAATGACTGATTGGTCCTAATAAACATTGAAGTGTCAAATAGATTATAGAGGGAAAGGAGAGAGACAAAGAGAAAAACAGCAATGCATTTTGGCTGTTTTATTTCCTATAGTTTTGTTCTGTAAGATATCAACTGATGTTACAACAAAGTGTTCTTCAAAATATTCCCAGTGTTTGAGTAATGAATGAGTGCCCCGTTGCCTTGGGGTGGTGTTTATGCTACCAGCACATTTCACCTTCCTGCTCCATTAGACAAAAGCCTCTCTGAACAATTGCTTACAGGAAGCTGGAAATGTTCCTGAAACTATTAAAATCCGGAGCTGTAAAGTGCTCCGAGACCTTATCCTACATGAAGGGCACCACATAAACGCATGTTGTTGCTTTTTGTTGGTAGACTTTGGAAGTCCGATTTGTGTGCAGGTTTCTTATTTTAATAGTTTTGTGTTTTTAGGGCACCGCAGCAAGGCAGAGAGTTCAACAGAAACCTTGTACGCAGCAACCAGACATGAAGGGTTCAACAGTGTGGTTCGAGGACGAATTCTGGCAGGAAACTACTTTCTTTTAAAACAGTAAGGCAATGGTTCTAACTGCTTATTATAATTTCATCAGCTTTAATGTGATTGTTTCTCAGCAGACTAAGTGGCATGTGATAAAGTTTTAAGACAATTTTTCTCCTCTGATTTTCTCCCCTTTTCTCTTGAAGAGAAGGGGACGACTCTTTTTTTCCTTCTACTTGGGTATGGTTCAAACAACACCTCACCTAAGTGAACCTTATTCGTGTGTGACCATTGACAGGCTATTTAACCTTGATGAAATCTCAGCCAAGCTCCATCTTACCCTGGCCCAATGCCCATGTATGTGCACCCTTCTAGCTGGAGTCATTCTGTGTAGGTGAGGATCAGGAGTGGGAACCCTGCCTGAATAGTTTTCTTCTCTAACCCAACGGGGTCAAGAGCAATCACTCCCCAACTGCTGCCTGGGACAAGATCACTGATCTCAGCACAGACAGGGATTTAGACCTATAGCCGGTCTGTGTAAACAAGTACAGCATTACTGTGGTTATAATGGCATCAAGATCATTAATGAATACTAATAGATTAATTGTGTATTTTTCTTGGAGGTTGGGGACAGATTGGAAAAACAACCTGGAAGACTTTGTGAAAACAACAGCAGAATAAATCTGTCAGTCTGCACAGGGAGAGGCATCTGAAGTCATTACAATCATTCTGTAAGCGGGCAATGTGGTGCACATATATGCAGTACAAAAGGCTTGATGCTTTCTCAGCACTGGGTTGAGAAACTTGGCTATTTAATGCAATCATGTCCCAAGAAAAGGGAAGAAAATTTGAGAGAGCTTCCATGAGCTACTCTCACACATGATCTAGCAGCTGAAACAGAGTAATCTCTGACAGAGACTTGGAAATATATGATCCTTGGTTCAAGAGACCTAATAGGTCTATAAAGCAAATATGTTGCCAATTTTGTCTCAACTGGCATTGCTAATGTTCCCAATTCATATTTGGCTCAAGAAACCCAAGGTCTGAGCTTGCACACTACAAGCTCCTGATTCAATCATGTTAATGTGGGCAGTTGCCAAGTACTAACAAGGGGACTTGCCCACACGCAGAGAAAAAATATAGGAACAATATTTTATTGAATAGTTTTGTTTAACTTGCTATAGAGAAAGTAGTCCTGCCTCCCTTACCTTTTTATGTCAGAGATTGAGAGAAAATAGCACTGAATGACTGACCAGCCACATTCCCAGAGTAAAGCAGGTCCTGAAAAGAGACCCAGAGACACCTGAGCAGCAACAGATGAAGGGGAGAAGGCCTATAAAATGTTTTAACAAATTTTCTGAAAAATGCATGTTTTAAACCAAGAAATTATTTTGTGACACAGCAATTTTAATAACTGTAAGCACAGGTATAAACAGACTTCCTCTGTGTTCCACCTTTAGATTGTGAATTTTGTATTTAAAATGAATCCCTGCTCTCTTGAATCCTCTCAGGAATTACGAGCGCTATTTTGTAAAAGCACAGCAGGTGAGACGCCTCATAGCCAATGACTTTGTGAAGGTTTTTGGTTCTGGAGTTGATGTTCTACTGACACCCACAACTCTAAGTGATGCTTTATCATATCTGGACTTCATCAAAGAAGACAACAGGACTCGCTGTACACAGGAGGACATCGTTACCCAGTCTGCTAACATAGCAGGTATATATCATAGGACATCCATCCCTTTATCCACAACTGCTGGATTGATTTGTGAGCTATTTTACTCTGTGAATTTTTAAATAGTTCATAGGTGTTTTTAAAGTTGATTAAAACTGAAAAACAGACCTTGACAAAGAATGTTAGTAACTCAATAGTAAGACATGCTTTCCAAAGAATGGTTTCCCACCTGACAAAATTAATCACTGCTTTTAAAATACTTTCCCTGTATGTGCATGCCTTGCAGTCATAATCAAATATATATTCTTGTCTCTGGGTCAGAAGGTTGTGGGTTAAAACCCCACGTTGGGACTGGAGCTCATTTTATAGACTGACACTCTAGTGCAGAACCTGGGGAATGCTGCATTGTTGGAGGTGCTGGCCTTCAGATGAGACATTAAAATAAGTCCCTGTTTTTCTGTTCAGTTGAATGATAGACCCCTTGACACAATTTGAAAAGAAGGAAGTTTCTTCCAGTGCTTGAGCCAACAATTTACCCCGTGACTGATTGGGGAACCTTGTTTTGCACAAACTTGTTGCCATATTTGCCTCCAAAAGCAGTCACTACACTTGGCAGCAATTAGCTATAAAGCACTTTGAAAAGTTCTGACATACTAGGAACTATGTCAATGCAAGTATTATTTGGTCTTAAAGATTGTTGATGGATCATTCATCTCATGACTGTTTGTGAGGCAGTGCTGATGCATCTATAGAAACGTGAATCCCTGTGAAATCCCTATGAAAACAGCTACTAAACAATGCTATGGCAATGTGAAGCCAAGGATGAGACTCAGTCAAGCTGTCAAGCTTGAATTATAGAGGATATAATATCTACATTCTGGTGCTTCCCTTGACTTACCTTTTGAAGGCACTCCTGTCTTCAGGAGTTTCTCCCAATGTCCTGGCCATCAACCCTTCAGATAAAGTTGCTCATTCACTTCATGATTGTTTGTGGGACATTGCTGTGTGCAAATAAGTTACTGCCTTCGCCAACAAAATGTAGTCACTAAATTTTACAGTAAATCTAAAAATTCCTTTGAGATGTCCTCCCAGAGTGAAAAGCTCTCTACCAAATGCAAGTATTATTATTATATTTGACAGCAATTATCTGTAAATCACATTGAGAAGTTCCAACATAAATGCTAAAAAACAGCAAAGAATAATTCTTTCTACTTTTGTGTATGTGCTGCCAAGGCAAACTCACCTAAATATAAACCTGCCTTCAAACTTTCCAGTGGCATTTATTGATCATAATGTCGTGAAAGCTGCTCAGAATATTTTGGTTAATGTGCATTGCGAACCGATAGATCTTTCTGTGTTCTAGCCCAAGTTCAAAAAACAACAGCATGTTTATTGTTCTGTGTGTTTTGTGCATTTGTCATGAGGCAAACAATTTTCTATTTCCAGCTTCTGTGTTTTATAGTAATGTATATAATTATTTGTAATATTTAAATAGATTATAATGCAAGGTAATGCATATTGGAACAAGAAACCTTTGACATCTGTAAACTATGAAAGGATTTCTGTCGGTGAGAGATGTCAATCAGTAAAGGAGGAACAGGAAAAAAAGAATTATTGATCATTCACTGAAAGTAAATAATAGTATCATTACATTTGGTATAGCTCCTTTCATGTCAGGAGGAGGTGAAATCCTGGCATTGTGAAGCTACTGCTCTCAGGGTTTATCATATATTCGGATGTGCTGAACTATAAGTTAAAACAAGTTATCAAACTTTATATAGATCATTGTTTGGACCACATTTAGCCTATTTTGGATAAACTACCTTCAAAAGGACATTAATGCAATTAAAAAGGTCACAAAAATGAGACAAAGATGGTTCGAGGATTTAAGTATAAAGAAAGGATCAGAACCACAGATTTTTTTTGATAGAAAAGAAGTTTCAAAGGAGAACCAGGGTTTAACATACTCTAACCTGTTTTTTTAATTTGGATTAGGAGTATAAAGTTAAAAGAAATTAGTTTAATATCGATGATCTTAAAATAAATATGTTAAAAAAATGATATATGCCATAGCATCCCAGCTAAAACAATCAACAATTTGTCAATTGGCATCTTGAGCAAAGATCTGCAAAATTAACGGATTAGCAAATAGATCAAGAGTCACGCAGGATAAACATCTAGATGATCACATGCTTTTAAGAGAGATAATTGTTCTGTGGGTGCAGGACCCTTAGTTCTTTGATGTCAAGGAAGAGATTCAGTCAAACTCAAATTATAAAGTATTCTGGTGTTTCACTTGACTTACCTTTTGGAGGCACAGAAAAACCTGCCCTCAAGAGATTAAACGGGTTGAGTGAATTTCATGATGCAGTAGATTATATATAGTCTGTGGAATGAAAGGGCTTGATGCATCAAATGGCCTTTTCTCATTCCGTGCTTTAGATTTCGGTCCATACACCTCCTCATTTGTAAACAGAACAGCCAGAATGTGGAAGAAATGTAAAATAGTTTGGACAGATACTTTTTTTTCAAAAAAAAAACTCACTTTCCATTTTTTTCACATTTTCTCTTTCAGGATTGCCAGCTGTGACTGTTCCAACCGCACTATCACAAAGGGGGCTCCCACTCAGCCTCCAGTTTATCGGACGAGCTCTCCACGACAAGCAGCTTCTGACAGTTGCTAAGTGGTTTGAACAACAAGTGAATTTTCCACAGATTAATCTCTAGGGGCCTGCGGAATAATCATAATGACTTACACAAACCTTGAAGTTCAATAGAAGCGCCAAACTGACCATTCTAAACCTACTCTGGCACTTACTCGCAGTTTAAAAAGGACGGAAGTTTCAAATAACAAAACCGAGTGAGGGATCAGAGTAAACATCGCAAACTAAAACACAGTGTGGTGTAAAGCTGCACAGTGTTATACGAAGGTCGTTGTTCACACCTTTCTATTTGGATGTTTTTCTTTTGATGTATGCCAGCTCGAGATGGTGAAATGAATAATAAATTTGGGATTTTTAATAAACTTCATTTTGCGGTGCATAGTTATAATTCAGTCACCTTAACTGCCGGGAAAATTGAGTGCTATTTATTTTTCAGGAATGTGAATGCTGCAACACATTGACACAGAATGAAGTGAGAGACATGGGTTTATACCCATAAGCTTTCCACACATTGCTCTCAGCTCAGCTGTGAGTTCACAGGCTGAGTTGTGATGCCCTAGATTGGTGCTGAGAGGAAGGCAGACAGGTGCTAGTCCACAGGGAGGCAGACTGAGCTCAGGCAGCTCGTCTGCTGAGTGATATTGACAGAACTCTTAGGAGTGAGCCTCCAACCTTAGTGGGCAACAATGAACTTTCACGTAGGGAAACCCACGGCTGAGAAGAAAGAGAACCACACCTTCAATAGAACAAATTGGTGATTGTTGCACCCCTGGTTCTGATTTATGAAACCATCAGTGCAACTTTGTAGAGATGTCACCCTGAAAGCCTAAATTGCTGTAATCTGAACTCGCTGTATTTTTAACCTTCCAGCAACTCTAGTACACATTAATATTGGATATTCAAAGTTAAACATGCATGAAGTATCAAGAACCTGCTGCCTGAAGACAAGTTGTTATAATTGTGATTGAGGAAAAAAAAACACTGCTTAAAATAAATCTATTACACCCTCATTGACATACAAATAAATTGTATCCTTCCAGTTTCAGCCTTTTCTTCATCTGAGTTTTCTCCTGCCCATTTCTGTACTGAAACGCACAATGTTTAAACACAATGGAGCTTTTATCTGGCTGTAGCTGGCAGGAATTCAGGAGGGTACACACAGCACTCGTTTCTGTTCTTTGACTCGAGAAGAGATGGATTTAGAGTGCTCCTAAATGCCCTCATTTTCATTGTTTCTTTTTAAAGTCTACCAGCAGTAAAAATATTCACATTCTCAAGTCTCCAAGCTGCAGACAATGTTTATTCAGGACCGTCTTTAGAGGAGAGCAAGTATTAAAGGAAATATAAAAGCTCATAGTCTTTCTCAAGTGTATTCTCTAAATGCAATGTATTCGACTCCCTCATCTGGAACTATACTGTATGCTGATTTTATTGACCTTCCTTTATATATAATAATCCTTGCATTTGATATAGCGCCTTATCGTGTCTTTGAGACGTCTCAAAGCGCTTCACCGAATACACTCTAAAGTGAATTAATTGTATATTCTGTGGGCGAAAAGCAGCAGCCAATTGCGCACAGCAGTGTCCTACAAGCAGTTGTGGATTGAGTGTCCAAATTGTTACTAATTTTATGCTGTTTATTTGAAGGGATTATTATCCCTGGAAAAGAGATATGCCAATTGACTAACAACCAGGTTCTTATGTACTGCTAGATAAACAGGTGTGTGGGGTGAGGAAATTTGCCTAAAGTTTCGCCCCCCGCCCCGCCTGGGAATCAAACCCAGGTCCTCTCGCTTGTGAGGCGAGTGCTCTAACTACTGAGCTACAGGACTTCTGTGTGTGTGTGTATATATATATATATATATATGTGTGTGTGTGGTCAAGGCAGGTGTGTTGTCATGTGCAACACATCTTGAAGCCGTGATAAATCTTTAATATCAGAGTGGGGAGGGTGCTTCCTTTCATCCTTGCTTTTGTTAAGAAGTAATGTGTTTGAAGTAGGTTTGGGTTTCTGCACTCTCACTATGCAGATATGTAGCATTGATTCCTTTGGGTGACACCAAAAATAATCATAAAAGGCTTCAACAGTGCAGTTGTATTCTGTGAAGCACAGATCTGAAGAGGGTTCCAAAAGAAATGTGGAAGGTTTAAGGATAAATAATGGAATATTATTTGCATTGAAGAGTAAATTGGCAATAAATGGGCATAATTCAAGATTATTATTAGAAGCAATGATAGAGAGGTTATAAGAATGTCTTTCTGTATGAAAAGCTGTGGAGCATATTGTCAAAAGTGCCAATTAAAGCTGAATTAATTATTATAAATTGGAAAACTAATAAGCATTAACACTATAAAAGGATACAGGGAAAGAGCAGGCAATGGGATTAGAGTAGATATCATCAGTGAAGAGCTAACATAGCCCAGACATGGTGTGCTCAAATTTATAATCATGCAGTAGAAAATACTATTTTGTTTAGGTCAGCTGGGTATTTGGCGCATTGAAAAATTCAGTCACCATGTTTAAGAGTGTCCAAACCAGACAGTTGCACGTGTCTGTCTGGGCGGAAAATGAGCAGGGTTGGGGTGGGAAGAAGCTACTTTGCGGCACCCAAACCATATTTGGCTCCAAGAATTCAGTAAAATTTGCTTTCATCCTATTTTTATGTAAGTTTTTGTAAATTCTCTACATCACACATCTCCCTCCACCGCCCCCTCCCCCCCCCCCCCCCCCCCCCATGACAAAATAAAAGTACTACAGTACTAAATAATTTTGAAAAACTTAGGAATGAACAAAATATCAAGAACATGGGAAGTGGAAATCTTACCTGGAATAGCATCATAGGGATCACAGGGTATTCTGATCTTGGATCACTTCATTTCACAAAGGCTTTACGGGTACCAATTCCATAGTATTTATTTGCAGGCCTTCTGTCGCCATTCACAGCAGCAATTAATTTTCAATAGCATATGAGCAGAAGGCATGGAGGATTATAGCAAACTCCATTTATTATTTGACACTGAATAACTTGCATAATCAGTCTTCATTCTCTCCCCTGTGTAATGTTTCTCTCTCTGTCCCTGGTGACAAACTCAGTGAAGCATGTATTCAGCAGCATTTCAAATCATCAATAAAGCTTGACTTTAAATACAAAAATATAATCCGAATAAAGCAAGGAGTTGGTCAAAAATCTTATTCTTTCAAGAGTAATAATTTGGAAGCTAATTTAGGGAGAAAATCTGAGATTTGTAAGTATGGAAATTAACCAAATAAGTCTAAATGTGTCATTAATACAGCAGCCATTTGCTGGTTTTGTATCCTATTGGCTAAGATTTTTTTTTTATCTTTTGGTCAAATCTTACCTTTAATGTGTTCGCCCACAAAATATACAGTCAATTCACTTTACAGCATATTCTGTGAAGCACTGAGATGTCTCAAAGACGTGATGAGGCACTATATCAAATACAAAGATTACTATAAACCATGCACATCTGTATGTTACAATGGCTGTGTAAATGTACAAAGAATTACATGAGGCCTGCTTAATTAGATAATAAATCTTTTTCACTGGTTTTCAGTTACAGAATTAAAGGCACTTATATTTCCCTCTGTACATGTGTACAGTTTACATATGGTGCATAATAGACATGCATTTACACACAGTGCATAGTAGATCACATTTAATTCCACAAATTTATCCAATTGCAAAGTAAACCATTGACACATCTGTACGTAACAAAGAGAAATAGGGTGTTTTGTTTGCTGTTTTTTCAGATATCAAACGCTGGATCATTTATATTCAGTAAACAGCTGAATACAAAGGAGATGGGAATGAAAATCTGAAATAAATGGAGTGCGATGCTAAAAGCTCGATCAAAAAGTTTAGAAAGCATTAAAGCATTTGTATTGTGCTTGCTTTTATCAACCTTTTGTTGGATTATTTATTTATCTCCTCTATTCACTCATTTAAAAAAACATATTGTGTATCTTCAAAGGCTGTATAGAAAAAGTGATGATTACGCTGACCGAGAATGATTTGCATAATAATGATTAAGAACAACTTGACTGGTGTTAATATTTGGATTACATTGCTGCCAATTGAAAACAAGTTCTTGTAAAAACAATTGTGTTGAAGAACAAGGTTTTCATTTGTGTATCCTACTTGTTTCCTGAAAGAGCTTGACAGGTGTTCTGCAGAATAACTGTCATTTAATGCTGATACTCTGGACTCCGAGGAAGGTTGGGTAGGCGGTTAATCGCTCATTATACACTTCTGGTATCTACGAGCTATGGGTTGGTGAGATGGTAAACGTTTTAAAGGGGCATTTGGCCAAAAACAGTGATCAAAAGATCTGCCTGAACCAACAGAATGAAGGCTCGATGGGATTCTTGTTCTGGTGATTGCAGAATCTTAGCTAGATTTGGCCAGTATGAGAGAGTTCAATATCTGTTGTAACTGTTTCGCCCACAAAATATACAGTCAATTCACTTTACAATATATTCTGTGAAGCGCTTTGAGATGTCTTGAAGACATGATAAAGCGCTATATCAAATGCAAGGATTATTATTATTATTGGGCAGCTACTGAAATTTGCTAGTTAAACAATCACTGACATAGGCCTCTGAGCAGAAGTGCAGCATGTAGATAGCAGAAATGCACAATAAATCAAAGGTAATTTGTACACTAAAGAAAATAAACAATGAACTATTAACTTCCTATAAAACATTAGTTATAATATCAGGGGATAACTTGCACAGAATACAATGTTAAATTGCCTGACAGTCACTTTGTAAGTGATTGTGATCGAGGGAATTTACTGTAATCACTGCAAATGGTTAGTGCTCATTTCAGTGGGGGAATTAGCACAATCAACCACAAGTCCTCACTGCTGGAAGTGGCTGTGAAGACCAGGCTATGTCATACTGTGTCAGTGTTAACTGTAAAACTGATCAATCCACTCCAAATGATAGTTCCTGGACTATGAGATAACCACCCACTTGTGTTATTTGCAGTAAAATTGGCGTTTAAGTACCAGGTTTCCCTGCAGAATGGGAGGAGCAGAACTTCAGCTGTTCCAAAGTGCTTCACACAGGAGAACAATGTCTGATTTTTCTCCT